GAAAGAAATAGGAGTACGGAGCTAAAAAAAGGTTGGCTTGTCTAACTTCATATAAGTTTGAATAAAAAAAGCCTTAAGATATTATTCCAGTGAATGATCATAAAACTCTTGGACAAGAATATTAACATTTGCTTGTAAATTAAAACCCAAGAGGAAAACAAATTATCTTCTGGCATAAACTCAATTTAAATTTTTTCCCAAAAACCCCGTTTAGCACGATCCCATATTATACCTAAGTCGAATTATTGACAAAGTTCGTTCTATTATAATTTAACTTGTTCCTAGTAAATTAAAAGTTTCATATTGCTTCGACACTCTAAATTTGTATGTAACTCCGCTTACGACACCTCCGAGCTGGCGTACAGTTACGCACAAATTCTTGTACCTAGCATCCCGCGCAAATATTTTGAAAATAACACCGCTAGAGTCACGTCTTTATAGCAGCACTTACGCCACACGTAAGTCGCTACGTGTACTTGGCGATCTTTTGATAATCCGGCCCCTGGGCCCTGTGCTATATAGGTATCGCAGCCAGGCTGTCATACCCAGACCCAGTGATTAGTCGTCATTGTGTGTTGCTATTGCTCGATGTTATTGTGTTTTGTTATTGAGTGTTGTGATTGCGTTCTGTTTTTGCGTGTTTCCATTGTGTGTTGTTATCAGTGTTGTGATTGCGCCTCGTTATTAACAGATGTTAATGCAAGTTGGTAGTGTGTTTTTTTGCGTTTTTATTGCGTGTTGTTATTGTGTGGTGTAATTGCGTGCTGTTATTGTCAATTGCGAAATTTTAAATCGTTAGATTTTATATTTCGTTTGTTTTTTTCTCGTGACGTAGGGTTTAATCCAAATCTTGCATATTTAGATTTTCCCTGATGATTGTTCTTGCACACTATAGAATTTTTTGTATTGATGATGCAACTGGTATCAGATAAGTTTGCAATGAAGTTATAGCTAATTTGCTACGCTGTAATTTCTTTTTGAATTACTGGCGAACTTGGGATTTAAGCAGCGTACTTATATAAGTTCTTGTGTGTGTTGTGATTGCATGTGGTTATTGCGTGATAGAATCGCGTAATTTTACTAACACTTGTTATCGAGTGTTGTTGAAGCATGACGTGATTGTGTGCTGAAAATGCATGAAGTTATTTTATTTGTTTTGCCTTTTGTTTCTGGTTTATTTTACTGCATTATGTTTTTATTTGTCATTAATGGGTTGTGTTGTTATTTTCGTTGGTCTCGTTTTGTTTGTTGTTAGTGCAAGTAGTAATTTCGTCATGTTAATTATTTGGCGTTATTGCGTGTTGTTATGGCGTGATGGTTTTGAGTTGACATTACGGATATTTAACAAAGTAGTGTTGTAGGTGAAATCCCACGAATAAAAAACAGTTTGAAATGAACTTTACACTCGATGGAACCATGAACTTTAGACGTTGTTAAGTTCATAGTGGCTTAGGCGAAATTTCGACACTCAGGTTTCAAGGAGTTTTATTTGGGTGATCTTGAAAACATAGTTTCTGCAAGCATGACATAAGAAATATTAGCTATCTAATACACAAGATAAACAAATATAAGCAAAATTAAATCCAAGTTAACCAAAAGAATGTCGTATCAGAATCAATAATGAAAGCCTAATAAATTGCAGGACGAAACTCACCGAAGTATTTCGCCACTTAAGAGGTTTGAACTACGAATGACAATTTATGTCCAGGTAAACTTCGGTCGGATGACTGAAGGTCTAAACAGAAATATTACGTGAAGCGTACATATGAAAAATTGCGATTACAGACGTGATGAAAATTTAGAGGAGAACACTTCAAAAAACACTTAAATTTTCCAATAGGTATTATAATAAAGCCAGCAGTAAATGATGATGCCAGACTAATGTCAATAGTTATTGATGCCAGACAGCAAGTTTCGTACACTGCCAGAGGTGTTGGTAGCAATACCTTCTGCGGGTGCTTAAATATCAGTCCGTAAGGTGAACGCAGAGAGACTTTATGGTTGGAGCAAAGGTTGGGTTTGGCAGTGCAAAGAGGCAATGCAGCCAGCATCCTAACAGCAGTTAGAGAAAATTTCGACGTGGGCCCGCTCCTCACTCGCGTCACAGCTCAGTGACTCTCGGAGTCGGTGTAGGCCACCATCAGAGGCGTTAAGGTCGGGGCCCTGATCATTGACATGAAACCATTCCCTGTTTTTAATTAATAAAATTTATTCCTTTTTGTATCCGAGATTGTGTCTCTGATGTCTCTCTTAACGATGAAATTGCTTTGACTAGAAATGCCTTGCTGTTTGTTTATCACTTGCCATATTTGTCTAGCCACAGGCGGCGGTGAATTAGCGACATGTTCGAAGCTTTGATTGCTTTTCTTGCTTTAAGCGTAAAATTTTAAATTACGCTCAAAAGGCTGCACTTCGACGACGGTGCAAATATTTTCTGTGACTTGAATCTTTTGCGAAAAAAATACAGAAATATAACAGCAAGCAGTGCGCAAACGGCTACATATAAACTGATTTACCTGAATGAAAATTACACACGGCGAATCATTGTTTGATTTGTTCTCATAACAACATTTTTTTACGAGAGTTCCACGATGGAGTGAAAAATTTCCGTTTAATCGCAGAAGTGCCGTTATCTTTTCTTCATGATAAGGAAAGCTGTGTGAGTGAATGTTCCTAACACGTTGATTCGTTAGTATAAAATCAACCGGAAATCGTTATCAAGTTGCCGTGCTTTTGAGGACTGTTAATTTTTTCAGCATTCCTCGTAAACGGGATAAATTACAACATCTGCAAACCACGGCACAACCGCACATCTTCATGAAGCTGCAAGACGCCAAGAAGCAACTGGCAAATTAGGCCTCCAGTTTATGGGTTGAGAATGTGGATACCATCACGTGGAAGCGGCGGGTCTGATGTATTCAGGGCAGATTGTATGTATTGAACTGTTTAATTGATGCAAGGCTAATTTCTTTAAATCTTACCTTTGGATGGCAGGTCACTCACTGCTCTGCTTTCCCAGCCTATAACAGCAAAGTGGAGTAAATTAATTATATAACGGCAGGAAATTCAAAAATGTCAAAACCCTAAAAAATTGGGTGCCCGTAAATCTACATTATCATCCAGTATAGAAAATGCTTATCTTAAGTAAGAATTCCGATTGGAAGACCGTTATTATTTGGGTTTGAGTAATTACTCATTCAATTTGTCCGGCTACAATTAGTTATGTGTAGTTCTGTGTTGGTTCTCCAGTAGTTCTCCAGTAGTTCTGTGTTGGCAGAACTACAGTAGTTCTGTGTTGACAACCTGCATTTCTCTCAATCTGTATTTGAAGAGTGAAACCACCTTCAGATCCGAACATTATTCAGATACAGCCCACTAGTCAGATTCTTTACGAATGTTCACGACGCCACATCATCTCATTCTCGTCCGCTTCACCATGGAGTGAGACTTCCAGCGCGCGTCTCGTCTGGGGTGACAGCTTTGAGATGCGAGACAATCTGAGGGCGACGGCAACAGCTTGGCTTCTCACGGACGGGTGTCGGCGACAGCTCAGGAGAGGACCGGATGCTGCAGGTTGGTTGACCGTCACTGAAGCTCAGGGTGTTGTGGCAATTCGTAGCTTCGGCCATTTCCATTGTGGATAACTGTCTAAACTACATTACTAAATCCCAATAATACAACCGTCGTAGTCTGCCAACTGAACTTATATTCAATAGTTAACCTATTTATTATTGCCCTAATTTCAAGATGGCTATACATTTTTCAAAGCACAGCTGATCTGTCCTTAAATTTTACCGATTGTCGATATACTGGACCCTAATATCCGGCCTGTCCAAATTTTCTATGACCTAATTTAGTGTTAACATTTCATTTTTGGCACCATGGACGGCACGAGGAATTTTTTCTAGAGGACCTTTTACCCTTTTTTCACCACCCCGTTCCCCGTGGTTTTTATAATATATAACCGGAACATTTAATAAATCCAAAAATGGCTTCAGAAGCTGCTAAATATTCTCTTTAAGAATCGAGTGATATGCCAGTCAATGTTGCAGCTTAGAAATTGAAGGAGGAGATTGTTCAGGAGAGGAGATTGTTCAGAAGTAAAATGAAACTACGCGTTTAATAATAAGCCTTTGAAAAAATACTGTTTTTAAAGACGATACTTCTAAAGAATCCAGTGTCTCCGGTATTACACCTGTAAAATGAATTTCTAATTTTATTTTCAAATATTAAACAAATTAATTTTTACATTTTCTCAATATATAAAGAAATGTAAATTTTCAAAATTGTTTATTCTGTCATTTGATTCATGCATTGTCTCCAACTTTACACGAGTGTGCAAAAATTTCATATCGATTGAACAGGTAGAAGTGTGTTAAATATCGATTATAAGATTTGTAGCAGACAAATAAGAAGTGAAGTTCAAGAGAAGTGTTGTAAAAATGGTTTGCTGCCATTTACGCGCCTTTTCTGTAGCTACAAAATGAGCTCAAAAAAGGAAAAAAAAATCACAATTTACGAGGCGAGACATTAATGATGATGTATACTTCTTATACAGTGAATTATCCAATCTAATCCAGGTTACTCTGGAACGATTTAAGATTAAAATTATTACAACCATGACAATTCATTGATTCCAAATTCCACATGTACATGAACTACCAAATTGAAAATATTGAAGCGGCCAGAGATTTCATGCAAAACTTAGATATATTGCTTGGAATAATGGAGTGTCCGATTGCCCAAACTCCAAGATGTCGCTGCTTCGTATCTTTCCCACATAGTTGACTCTGTCTGACGTGTCCATGAGCTTGCCCCAAGCTCATCATTAATCTTTGAATTAACGCAGCCACACGAAACCCTCGTCTTCCACCTCCTGAGCCAGACTCGCATCAATCTTGCAGTGGTGATTTGGCGCCATCAGAGGAATTAACTCCGGTGTCTTGAGGCAATGACTTATGGTGATGCGGGAAATTTGCGCGTCGCAGGTGTGATCTGACATGGCTTGGAAGCGTCGTGTGAAGAGAAGCAACTACCTTGTAGCTTCTCCACCAGACCGCCCACTTCGTGTCGCCTCCAAATATGTTTTCGTGGGTTGACTTTGCTCCTTATGATTTGGGATAATTAGCACAGCAGCTGGGCAATGGAATATAAGAGGAAAAGCGATGCATTGTTTCCAATGGAAATGCGTCCAATGGCGGGTACTTACCTCCAATTACAATGAACCGCTTTTAGACGGAATTCGCCGGTGAAAAAATAACTATTAAATGAAAAGCGATAAAATATCCTAGTAATTATGACATCGCTTCACTTTGCGCAGGAACAATTACAAGTGCTAATTACTTTTTATTCTCATATTTGTCATCTGATCATAATCGAAACGGGTTCCATATCAACCTCAACCATTCAACGAAGCTAAATTATATATTGTGGTCTTATGAATAGAACGGTTCCTATATGAACCGTTCTATTCATGCAACCATTCTATTCATACAACCATTCTATTCATGCATTCAAAATATGCAGCTGTAATTATAATTACAGCTGCATATTTTCAAGTAATATTCTTCATTTCTACTGAAGTGACGCACTATTAAGCAACAGTTATTTATCTGTTCTAAAGTAATAAGTAGTAATTCGTCTGTCAGTTGCGATAGTTGTTTATGTCGAACCTATAGAAGAAACCTACAGGAGTTTTTTTTAGATTTTTTATGCTATGTCTTTTGCATTAATGTGCAGAAACTGGTAAATATGCATAACGAAACTATGCCTTCTTAACAGTTTTCTACGAACTAATGAATAAGCTCACAGGATTCTTTGCAATTCATCATAATCGACCTAAAGAAATGTTCCCACTTAATGCACTTTTAGTGTATTATAGTGAATATTGTTGCCTCCTACGTCACTTGCTTGAGCCAAATCTTGCGACCAATCTTAGGCTTTATAGCTTATTCTCTGCATATACTAAATATCTGATATCTGATGGTATCTGATATGGTACTTGATAATACTAACGACAATTTGGTTAGTATTATCGCGTGAGATGAACAAAGGGTGAAAAACAGACACGAATATTTAGGAGTTTGGGCTCCACAGTCTAGATACTTTTACGATTTCGTCCATGCAATTACGGATGATAAAATAATGTGTTCACATTGCAAGAACGTTTGGACATCATATTATCATGATCTTCGCGAATTGAAATACTTCGGGAATGATGGGCCTGGATTATATTTATTTTCAATTGTACATTTTCTTGTAATTTTTATAACTTCGTCGAACTATCGTTTATTTGAACTCTTTCCTTCTAACCAGTCAATCAAGGACAGGATGTTCTGGCCTTGATTAATCAGAAGGAAAGTGTTCGAATAGACGATAGTTCCACGAAGTTATAAATTTTGAAATGTGATAAATGAATTATAAGAAAACGTGAAAAAGGAATTAACTTCGGGTGCTACAATTATACAAACCCGGGGTACTCATCACTGTTACGCGAATTAAGGTACTCAGAAGCCCTTAATTTAAATTACTACTCGTAAGGATACGTTCACATTCAAAGACAAATCTAGTCTGTCATTTTCCGTGCGAAATAACCATTCGAAAATTAAAATTGCCGTTTAAGTCCGGGATTGGGGACATTTCCAATAAATAAATTGGTATAAACCATCGATATCCGCGGACTACCTATTGATCACAGCGTCTCGCCTGGAGCCACAGCCGACTTATGATTATTGGAGTGTGATTGCTCAGTCACGCCGAGCCACTGAGTGAACAGGGCGAGAATTTTGTCATTTGCGAGAGAGGCCTATAGTCATGGGACTGCAATCGATACATCACCGGGAGTTTGTGGATCATCATGGGTCCTTCATGCACTGATGACCGTCCATCATTGTAGTCTAATAAACAGGAGCGGATGAGGCCACATCTCGTGTGCCCGTTGGGTGGCATACAATAACTGCCGTGTATGTATGGACGGTAATATGAACCAAAGATTCTTGTGTAGCTCATTGGAATTGCAAGATAGTCAAGGAAACACGTCTCACGTGACAGCGATGCCCAAAAAATACTAACTGAAAATCAAAATTGGATCTTGTTAAGAACAAGCACCCCAGTATGATCTTGTTAAGAAAACGCACGCTAGTATTTCATTGTTTAGAAAACGTACCCCAGTATAAACCTTTGGAGAATAACTTTGTTGATCCTTCGAGAATTCATGTATCGAGATCGCTTCTCAAAAATTCTTTTGAAGCTTTATTTGATCATATTGTACCTAGTACTTTGACTAAGCTTATCATTTGGGATTTATTGTTTTGCAATGTATTCTGTACATTGAATTGTAATTCTTAAAAATGTGGTTAAATAGACCTAATTTCTTTGTATTTTTTATTCAATTAACCTTGTTAAGAATATGCACTTCAGTAATGTTCTGGTTTAGAATGCGCACCCCAGTATATAACGTATGGGGTGCTTGTTCTTAACACCAAAACTTCAAATATTATGATGGTGTTATAATCATACTCTGTGTTATATATATAAAAAGATCGATAATTGTGTTGGTTATTTTTGCTTGTGAGCTCCGTGATCCTGACTGTGACGTTTTGTTAACACAGAAACGAGCTTGCTGCCAGTTAATAATTAAAAAAAAAATGAAAATTTGTTCTCCTGCATTACAGAGAAATCAGTAAATATTGAGGAGATGTTCCCACGCTGACTGTACCGACAGCTCATCGTAATGCGATACAGAGAAGAACTATGATCTCGGGGCACAGGACTGTGTCTTGGAAGACTGATCGTTTCTCAACGACTTTTATTGCAGGTTTGATGTCAGCATTTGTGTTACAACAAACAGCACGGCTACTAATGTTGGTGTACAAACCAGGCCACACGCATCTGCGTCCATTTACTGCCTCGCGATCTATGTAACTTTGCAGGTGCAGGGCAGAGTGTTAGGTCTGTCTCTTATACACATCTAGATGTGTATAAGAGACAGCATATAGACGTTCAATGAGTTTAAAGATTCAACGAAAGTACCTGTGTGAAAGGCCCCGATTGATTTCTGTATACCAGGAATTTAAAATCAAAGAAAATAGTCAAACAGTTCACCATTTCTTAAAAGAGAAAA